TACTACAATATGGGGTCAGTTCAGTCTCAAAAATAAATAAAGGCACACAAAAGGATACACAAATGTAATTCCAGATTTATATATAAATGTCTCCGTCCACACACATATTTTTCAATGCACACACACAAACTTATCATTTTATAAATGTAAAAAAGTTTCACAAATATATTTCTTATCCACACACAAATAGTTACATCAAAAACACATTTGAGTGTTGTTACATTTATATAAAAAACGCTTTCTGTGTGTGAATCTCTGCATTTGTGTGGATTTTTGAGACTCCCCTGACACAGCTAGATTCACACCACACACTTTTTTTAAGAGGCGAGTGTCTTCGGCCAATCAGATGCCTGCTTAATTTTAAGCCAATCACATGCGTGTGCCTAATGCGTTTCCAACGTAGTGTAACATCTACGCGATTTGCGGAGTCTGGGGGTGTGAAAGTTCAGAGTTCATCTCCAACAACATGGCTTCTGGAAGTGGCGCTCCCGAGATATATATATAGAGATATATAGATCGATATATCTATATATAGATATATATCTATATCTCAACAGTTTTTACACCTGCAGCTTTTTTTCTTTAATAAAAGAGTTTTGGTAGAATTATTTTTAGCTATTATCATTGTTACACTTTTACACTTGCCACTCCCTTGAACACAAGCAGTACATTCAATGATGGTTCTTTATTATTCATATAGTAAATCAAACTCAATTCAGTTGCTAAAAAAACTGTATTTGACAATTAAATATTTAAAGTAGCCTTTGGTAAACAAATTAGTTTGTTCCCCAGATTGAAACAACACCGCTTTCCTTTTCACGATGAGGTTAAAAAAGGTTGATAGCTAATTATTATATTTTAAAGGGACACTGACCAATTATTGTATTCTATACTGAAAGGGGATTTTTGGAGAATTATTACATTAGAAATATATAAATCATAACCATGTACTCCTAATGTACACCTGCCATTTCCTTAACAGTACACATTATATTATCCTGTCTTCTCACATGACAGCTTGCTAATTACAACCTTTTGTTTATCAACCTACAAATCTGAGGGACTCGTTTAGCGTCTCCCATTACCGCCAACACCTCACTGAAAAGTAAACTCTTACATTTCTCTTTTACAATTCCAATCCAGCAACTGCAATTTGAGTTAAACAATTTTAATTTTAAGTTGCAAGTACAATTAAGGACAATACATGTTGATCCTCATTATCTGGCTTCAATGAGGTTCTCAACGTATTGGACAGTCTCGAGATAAATGTCAACTCCAAAACAATCCGATTCTTGTAGTGGATCGATTGTGTCCTGCAGCAGCATCATTTCAGGATCTGAGAGAGGACTTTCCAGTGTAGGGACATTGACACCAGGATGATGCTGATTTGAAAATCCACTCTCTTCCCACTGGATCTCTGGTATGAGAATACCCTGACAAAGACAAATTGTGTGTATATATATATATGAATAACCTTTCATATGCATTAATACATTAAACAAGCACCGTCATTATCACAAATTAATACAAAATAAGATAAATAAAAGGTTATGCAATGTTCTATAATTACAAGTAATGATTGTGGAATATGTGAAGGTTATTATGGAATAGACTTGACTTTACACATGTGGTGAAAAAGAACCCTAGTCTTGATTGCACCAAGCAAAGGCTTTTTGAATGCAAGGGTAGTGTGATTATAGTTATGTGTAGAGTATAAGAACCTAAATGTAAGGATGTTTGTTTTTTTATTGATTGAGGATCAACAAGAGATTGTGATAAGATTTTTTAACACATTTGGAATTAACCTCAGGATCAGGATCTGCCACCGGATGCAGGGCTTGGCCCACCTGCCACAACTGGTTTGCTCTGTTTTGCTCTGTCCTGATTGGATGGTTGGCCCATGCCTCAGTGAAGACATCAAGGTTGGCCTGTATGCGTGGCAGGAAAACATAGTGGCAGCAGAATATGTGCAGGATGCTGCTGATGTCAAGCAGGTGTTGTTCCTCAAGAGAGTGCAAGGTGTTGTGAAAAACACCCGTAACACTTGAACACATCACGCCAGAGACGTTCAATTCTGTATTTGAAAAAAAAAATTGTCATAAGTTGTAGTTACAGATGATTTGAACAAACTGTTCAATTTTCAAAGTTAAAACGTAATATTGTTATAATTTGGCAATAATCCATTGAATGACACAAGAGTTAGTGCACCATCATAAAGTACATTTTTGCTTGAAAATGTTCATGATCTTGGCCTTTAAATTCCTTTGAAAATTAGAATTTTCTTCTGAAAGTTTGTTAAAGGGGATGTTAAGAATGAATAGTCTCAAAAGCTTCCAAAATTAGGTTTGACTCACCATTGGTTGTGTACGCTTTTCCCTGCAATAAAGCTGTTAATGTCAGTTCCACGAACTGAGAACATTAATTCTGCTACTCTAACATTTTCCCCTCCATGATCTCCTCTCACTCTGAAAAACAAATCAATTATATGCTTCAGGAAAATTACACAATTAAAATATATGTAGTATATAAAATATATGACACTGCAGTATACTCCCAATAATGTAGTGCCATACAAATTGAGGAGAGGCTCACAGTTTTAAACCCCTACTGTACACAGTTGTCATCTTTAACAATTATAGTTGTGTCAGCAAAGCTAATACATGTTTCCGAGCGCACTTTAGAGGCCTGGAAAGGTATGTGATGGCTATTGCTTTATCTTGTCGGTTCAAACATATGTTCAAAATATGCCTCTTTTAACTAAGAAACAATGTGCAGCTATTTGAGGGGAACATCTACATACTATGGATAGGTCCACAATCACAGTAAAAATTATATTTGGAATGATATGAATACCTCAGTGGATACCCATGCTCGTTCACAGCTTCATTGAAGAAGACCAAGTGGGTGTCAGACCGGTTGTTGTCTGCTACCTTCAAGTACATAATCTACATACAAGTACATATATAATATAACACATTATCAACTTGATCAATTAGTATTCATTGCAACATAAATCAACTGACGAATGACATGAAACGGTAAGAAAACTAGACACCTCAGAATGATTTGATGTTATATCATGAAGCCTCTTGACATGAGAAATCAAGTCAAAGCTCAATAGAAAGGACTGAATACTTTACATTAATACAAAGTTAACATATGATGGGTGGAATAGGCACTATTCAGTCAGCAAAACAATTGAAATTACGACTTTGATAAATTAATTTCCAGTATACAAAGCCTGCTTCCCCTCACGAATGAAAAAGAGTAGGTTACTACCCCCTATTTGTACAGAAAATAATCTGAAGCCTAATAAAACAAATAAAAAAACAGCAGTCTTGTCTCATTTTGCAGTTGTTACTTTTTGACAGTATAAAGTCTTACCTTTCTTGAATAGCCATCTATTCCTCCAAAGATAACAAAGTTGTATCTAAGTTTAAACAAATAAGAAAGAAAAAAGTAACTCCCAAACACAATACAAAACATCCATAGAAGCATAGATCTCACATAGAATATTTAAGTGGATGAAAGCAAAACCAAATGTTCATGCTACGTTATGCTATGTTTTGTCAATGGTCATTTTTAAATATTATTAAAAAAAACACAAGATATATAAAACTAGAAATGAAAAATAATATAATGAACACTTCACATACAGATAGCATGCAAACACACCTGATTAGCTTGTGATTGGTGTCGATGTGCACCATGTACTTAGGGTAATGAACTGTGTATGTTCTCCTCACCACACATCCCATCCGGGTCATCCTGGAGAGCACACCAACACTGTCCACACGATGCATGGATGCATACACTCGGTCCCATTGCACTCTGTGTCCCTTTGCAAGTAGAGCACCTTGGACTACACTGTAGCCAGCATCTGACATGGTGCTTTTAATGTTTGTGATCAATAAATCGAATTCATCGTCACTGCAGCCACTATATGAAGCTGATATAGATACATTATTTTCGGCCATCCGCCTAAATAGTGTTGCTCTAGACCAGGGGTCACCAACCTTTTTTAGGATGAGGGCTACTTAAAAAAAATAAAACAAGTCGGGGGCTACTTTTACTCCTCTCTTTTTTGTTTTTTGCAGTGTATATATTTAGCACATTTTAACATTATTATATGCTTACCTTTAACCTTTGTGTGCTGTTTGGGTCTGTGGGACCCGTTTTCAGTGTTTACTAAAATAACATGTATGCAATTTAATTATTTTAACCTGCTTTATTTGGGGGTGGACCTCACCTCCTCTAGAGGGGGCCTCACATCCTCCAGGGGGGACCTCACCTCCTCTAGGGGGGTCCTCACCTCCTCTAGGTCCTCACCTCCTCTAGACGGGTCCGGGGGCATGCACCCCGGGGAAGATTTTTTTTAAATGTTTTAGTGAAATGCATCAATCTAGTGCACTTTGAGCACAACATGAATTTATGGATACAGCTCTCAACACTCAAATGAAAGGGAGCTGTATACTTTTCAATAATCAAAACATCTTTGGAATATGATCACAACCAATAACAAATTATTTCAACTTGTTTATTCTTATCTTATGTTACCTAGTTAGCATTCTTTCTTTTTCTTTATGCATATTTTACTAATCACTCCCCTTTTAAACAGTTTTTTTTTACTGTACTATAGTACTGATTTCTTACTTTATCTATATTAGATAGATAAAGGGGTGCTCTCTCTCTCTCACACACACACACACACAGGCTGTGTGCTCCTCCGTGGCGATGACGGCTTGCGTAAAAAAAATTAAAATAAACATATTTGTAAAGTGGGGGGACACAAACAGGATTTCGAAAAGTGCTGGGGACATGTCCCCCCTGGAGATTACGCCATGCGTGTGTGTGCGTCAAGTGCAATAAATAAATATGCAAGTTGCAACACACACAGTAAAACTCTGCCCCTCATGTGCTGTATAGGCTGGCATGATAGGCTGTTCAATGGGTCTGATGTGTTGTGTAGATTCTACCAGAAGGAAAATCAACGGGGAGGTGCCACATTGCTTTTCTTCCCGACTGCAACGCTGGTCCCGCAAATCAAGCAAGAACGTGATTGGTCGATATTCATTGTGGGGGTGGGGGGAGGAGGGGTGTTAGATAGATATAGAGTTGTAGTAACTAGATAGAGTTCACTATGATTTAGGTTTAGTTTATGCATGGGGTAGATTCTTTTGATTTCCTTTTTTGTTTTGTGTATTTTATACATTTTGGATTTGCTTGGCGAGCTATTTTTAGAACGGGCCCGGCGGGCGCCTCACGTTGTCCCTGCGGGCGACTGAGTGCCCGCGGGCACCGAGTTGGCTACCCCTGCTCTAGACACACCCAGAAGTCTGGCAATGCAATGTGATGACAGTCCTAGTTCTATAAGATTTGTCAGAGGTTACAAATGTCTCCAGGGTTACAAATGTCTGTTCATTCTCTCTCTCCTGCTGGATGAGAATATTAAGGTCTGCAAGTGCAGACAGAATGTTCTCTCCTACATCAACTATGTCACCCAGAGCACTTAATAGAACACAATCCTGACGGCACGCAAACTCTAACCCTTCGATGTCTACAGGTGTCCTCTCCAGGATGTGTGTTAGTCGATCATGCTGTCGTTGAAAGATGTCACACTTCAGTGATTCCTAGGGGATAAATTAAGAAATTAGAGATGACAAATATTGATCTGAAAATTATTGTTTGTTAGCTGCTCCATAAATGACAAGTTCTGCATTTTTTTAAAAGGCCATTTTATTCACCCACTAGCTAAGGCTTAGATTGTAGATGGCTAAAACCATTAGCCATCTCATATAGTCATTAAAGCAGTCAACAGCTGGGTTATATAGGAGTAAACAGCTGACTTCACTGGTGGTGGAACACTGGTGGGCAACAGAAGGGCAGCGCCAACAGCAATACTGTTTGAAAATGGTCGGTAAATAAGCTACTACAAGATTATCTCTATAATTTTCTCCAATCTGGTGCCCACCGCTACTTTGCTACCACAGTATTTACTGTGATTAGAACGTTGATTTTGCCCACTAGTGTTCTGCGGGCCAACTAACGTTAGCTAAGTGACTTTATGATCCTACTCATCCTAGGTTGCCCATTAGCATTATTTAGCTTACTTGTTGGCACATGCTAGTAGTAGCAGACATGAAAGAGCCTCTTCTGTGAGGCACAAGGCTAGCTGTAGTGCTTTAGTATCTACTGACCACCCCCCGGCATGAGCAAGCAGTTCAAATTGGGCATGGAAAGCCTCCCAGTCTGCCTTACCCGAGAATTTGGGTGTTTTCACTGACCCGGCGGCGGCTGCTGCGGGTTGATGGGCGCCGCCATTGTTGTTTACCTCCAGCTTGGAAATGGCGCGAACTGTCGCAGAAGACGGAGACATTCCCGCGTCTCTAGCCATCCTCACCGCCGACTCTCTCAGGCGCTCTCTCACCTCCCGTGCACATACCGGACACCAAGGCATCCGCGACTGTCTCTGCTTCTTGGTCAGGGAGCGCATACGCCTCTGTCCACTTTGTGAAGTAGTCTATGGCCGTGAGAACGTAGCGGTTACCCCTGTTCGACAAGGGTAGCGGCCCCACCACATCAACCGCTACTCTCTCCATCGGGTCCCCGACGGGAGATTGTTGCAGCAGAGCATGGGAAGGGCCCCCCGGGGCGTTCCCATGCTCTGCTGCAACAATCTCGCCCTGATGAACTGATCACGTGCCAGCTCACTCTGTACTCTGGGTGGAATGTGTGCATACGCCCGCGGCGGCAGGCTCTCCACGTTGTTAGCCAGTGCACGCAGCGTCTCTCCAAACTCTCTACAGCGGTTACTCAACTCGTTCCGGAGTAGCTCTGGCGGGAAACACTGTCCAAACCGCCTCTTCAAAGCCCCCGCTAACGCTCCATAGCTGAGTCGGTCCACAGGGCTAAGTAGTAGCAGACATGAAAGAGCCTCTTCTGTGAGGCACAAGGCTAGCTGTAGTGCTTTAGTCTCTACTGACCACCTCCCGGCATGAGCAAGCAGTTCAAATTGGACAGCCTCCCAGTCTGCCTTACCCGAGAATTTGGGTGTTTTCACTGACCCGGCGGCGGCTGCTGCGGGTTGATGGGCGCCGCCATTGTTGTTTACCTCCAGCTTGGAAATGGCGCGAACTGTCGCAGAAGACGGAGACATTCCCGCGTCTCTAGCCATCCTCACCGCCGACTCTCTCAGGCGCTCTCTCACCTCCCGTGCACTCATGAACTCCTCTCTCATTTCCTTCGACCACCCGCATGCTCCATCTTCCTCTTCATCACTACTGTGTTCCTGCTTCACTCCCATCTTGCTGAACTTCTCCATCCCCGCTAGCTTACCGGCTAGCTCCGTGACGCAGTTACGACTCTCGTCCGGATAGACGTCCCTTGTTCTAAAAGTTCACTTCTGACACCAATGTAACGTTCCCCAAGATGAGTCGGAGACAGGCTTGTAGTTATTAGGCTTTAATAACTAGTAATTGAAGACAGATGATAACAGGTCAAGTATACTTCGTGGGTTCTACCGCACACTAACTTATTTCCTAAACCAACCACAAGATATAGCACTGTCTACGTCACAACTCCCCGCCCTCCCCCGTCCGCTCCACCAACCACAGGCCCGCACCTCAGCCACCATCACGGTGCAGCTCTATGATTGGCAGAGAGACGGGGGATGCCTAAGTGACACCCTGAGTAGCCTATCAGGATCGCTACAATACATACATAGTAACAAAGCAACCATTCATAGCTTAATCATACTTAATCATGAACGGCAATATACTTCGACTTGAGGCGATAGACCCTGTCAAACAGTTATTTTCAATAACGTCAACTTCATTTAAAGATAATACTTGATAGCAGTACAACCAATTTAGCATACAGAAACTTTAGACAGACTTAACAGCGCTAGCTAATGTTAGCTTATTAGCTACATCACAATTAAACCTACTAAACAAGTTCCAAATATTGCTTCATAATTAAGCAAACGTAATATTGTATAGTTCGAGATTATTGCATGACTAACGACAAGATGTGAAAGTATTATACTTCACTTCCACTGTTAGCGGGAGCGCCACTTCCAGAAGCCATGTTGTTGGAGATGAACTCTGAACTTTCACACCCCCAGACTCCGCAAATCGCGTAGATGTTACACTACGTTGGAAACGCATTAGGCACACCCTCGTGGGGGCACACCGGGCACACGCATGTGATTGGCTTAAAATTAAGCAGACATCTGATTGGCCGAAGACACTCGCCTCTTTAAAAAAGTGTGTGGTGTGAATCTAGCTGCGTCAGGGGAGTCTAACAAATCCACACACAAATGCAGAGATTCACACACAAATGCAGAGATCCACACACAAATGCAGAGAGATTCACACACAGAAAGCGTTTTTTATATAAATGTAACAACACTCAAATGTGTTTTTGATGTAACTATTTGTGTGTGGATGAGAAATATATTTGTGAAACTTTTTTACATTTATGAAATGATAAGTTTGTGTTGAAAAATATGTGTGTGGACAGAGACATTTATATATAAATCCGGAATTACATTTGTGTATCCTTTTGTGTGCCTTTATTTATTTTTGAGACTGAACTGACCCCATAACCTAACAGCACACTGCTTCTCAGGGTCATTGTTGAGTTCTGTGAATGTAATTATCCTTTGAGAAAGGCTTTCAATGAAGTGCAGTGTTTGGGCTTTAGTAAGAAGAACGAGGAGGGAGGGAGGTCAGTGATGAAAAAGAAAATAATGAACAGGAAAGATAACAAAAGGAGTGAACAGAGATAGACAATGAGAAATGTTTTCCCTGTGTAACTGCTGTGAGTCTTGTAGCCTCTAGTAAGTAGGAAAATCTGTCATTAAGACATTATTAGCCTGGGTTTAACATGGCTTTGTTTGGGTCTTTACCAACAAATAATCTTCTCTTTGGCTGCTACAAAGTTTTTTTCTCCCTCCACAGCCATCTGGTGGCCCCCAGAAACCATGCTATCCGCTTTAGCTAATCTTCTATGTTTTATTATAATGTTTTACTTATTTTTGTGTATTTGTTTGTATTTATCAAAGGTTGTACTATATGTGTTTCAATGGTAATTTCTTCAGTTTGACCTACATATGTTTTTCATGAAATTGCCATAGTTCTTTTCCTGTTCCTGTTTACAACACAGATAATATTAATACTAGCTACTAGGGCTGTCAGTCGATTAAAATATTTAATCGCGATTAATCGTATGATTGTCCAAAGGTCACCCCGGTATAGTGTCCCCTCAGCAACAGACCACTCAGAGCTGGTGATTACTTCAGTTTATTTCCATACCTGCATTGCAAAGGACAACATACAATGGACACCTGAGCTGCGTTTCTCAACAGATCCTCACGCGGTATCTAAATCTCCTTTACAAAATAAGTGTCCAATAATCAACAACACAACAATGATCGTATAGTGGTAGTATGAACAATGTGAAACATTAAACATAAACAAACTGGTGTACAAAACTCACATACCTGCATTGCAAAGGACAACATACAATGGACACGTGAGCTGCGTTCTGTTGGAGAGATAGCACCATGCTCACGTTAGCCTATTAGCTCAAATTAGCTATTGACGATCACATTAATAAATCATATAACACAAATAGCGAATCACACAAAAAACATGTTGCTGTGAGCATTAAACGACTAACATTAAACTAAACAAACACAACAGAACCTTATTGTCCTAATAAAAAAATTTAAATCTTTTTTTCCTTCTAATTTGTTATTCTTTTCAAAATAACACACTGTTATTTACTCACCAATAACACACAATTATCCTTGCTTTTATTTATTGGTTTAATTCCATAATCTCTGGCTTTTTTGGCATCCATCAGGAACTGAATTTCAAAATAAAAATAACCGGAAACAGACGTAGGCCTCTAGGAGTTTAGGATGGCCGAAGACACTACACTACCCATAATCCCCAGCTATGGTTTAGGACTACAGTCCCCGTGATTAATCTTCAAGCTCTGGGATTGGATGTTGGAGTGGCAGTGCACCAAGGTTACGCCGAGCGTCAAACAGCTGTTTGAAATGGAACGAAACCACGCCAGACTATCCAAAACTGGAATCGAACGCCCCCCCAGAACTACACATGCTGGCTATTGTGTTTCGCAAAATGTTCTATGGGACGTCTCTACTGAACGTTTTCGTTTTTCCCACAATTAGAAGTTGCCAGTATTAAACACATTGGTGTTATCAAATGTAAAACATATAATTAATACATGGGTGAAAATCGCTTGTGTCCGTAATGCGCAGCATTAATATATACCCACATGACAGCTCATTGTTACTTTGTAATTCTACTCCACTACAATTCAGAGGTTAACCTGGTATTTTTACTCCACTACACTTATTTGCAGATTCTGATTAATGATGTGAAATATAAACAAACCTTAAAGCAGACTTTAGTTACACCTGAGTAAAATGCAGGGAAGGTGATTGTCAAGTGCCAACAATCAGGAGAGATATTTGATAGTTGGTGCTTGAGAAGACTAAACATTTATCTGCAATTGACATGAATGGAAACGAGTAATAAAGTATATTCATTACTCGTTATTCTCTACTAATAGTTAATTAAAGACTGTATATTATGGCTATTTTGCACATCCCTTTCAAGATTTCAAGATTTTCAAAGGTTTATTGACATATCATATACATAACTACGGTGTATGCAATTAATGAAAATCTTGGGTCACAGGTTCCTCAACAGCGCATTACAAGACATCTATCAATATGTGTGTATACCTCCACCATTAAACTGTCATATTCTGCACATTTCTTATACTATCTACATACATAAGAGTATAATGATGTATAATATCAGTTAAAATAAGTGCTTCAACATAGTTAACATTGCAGGAAAGCAATATATTAGACGTTAAATACTTTGTCAGGCTTAAAATGTATCTGTAGATAGATACCCCCAAAGTTTTTTTCTTATTTAAAAGAAGACCTTAATCTAAAGTATTATTTAATGTTTAACTAAAGGTTAATTCGTTTTTCTGTTTTGCACCTCCTCCTATTAATATCTTTGTACATCCTGCACTAAACTGTTTTATTGTAGAGATCACTTATAGTATCTTCTTGATTTTTTATATTCTATATTTCTATCACAGACCTTCTACTTTCCCCCTATGAAAGTATGTACTCTTAATATTTTTTTAATCAAATATAACACATAAAAGCAATAATTCAATAACGTGCTTTAACCACTAGGCGGTGCACACAAGGTATACACCAGCCATAATAACTTTGTATTATTAGTGTAGGACACTTATGTATGTACAACATCTGAAGATGTGTAGTTTTATTCATGCTTTCACATAATTTTACAGCATATTGCTATACTATTTCAGACTCAGTATTTACATTCTTATATTCAAAGAAAATCAGTAATATATTTAAAAACTACAAGTCCTTTTATATCAGCTGTGCACCGTTATAGTGTAAATATAACCTATCTATGAATTAGATCAAATGTAAAAGTCAGCCAAATTAGTGTTGATACTGCAAGGAGACGTATTGTGTGAAGAGAAATTGAAGATGTTGTTTAATTGTTGATATATTTATGATCCACGTCAAGTATTCAGTTTCGGCTGCATTTCTTCCAGTTTTTCCAAAGGTCTTCTATAAAGGGCTCTATAAATAAAGAACTACAGCAGATCTGTAATATGTAATGCAGCCGAACCGTGTATTACAATGCCGTTATGTGATGACTTTCAAAGAGAAAAGCAAGAACACTCGGAATTAAGTATTATTTTATTCTTTTAAAATGTTTTCCGGATTTCATATCATATAAACACCAAATCCCAGCATGCATTGCGGCTAAAACATGCAATCAGCGAGCTTAAACCTTAGCTGAGGATCTTGGGTAATCGCTCGAAATGCCTACGTCTGTTTCCGGTTATTTTTATTTTGAAATTCAGTTCGATTATGGAATTAAACCAATAAATAAAAGCAAGGATAATTGTGTGTTATTGTTGAGTAAATAACAGTGTGTTATTTTGAAAAGAATAACAAATTAGAAGGAAAAAAAGATTTAGAAAAATACAGATTTCAGTATCCTGAGGCTCTGAGCCCCATTTATTTTCCTCACAGACGACAAAAAAAGTCAGACATTATACGATTTAAAATAAAAACAATAATCGTGGCTTGATATTGAGTAAGAACATGTTTTTATGAACCCCACAGCTTCCGGTCTTCCACGACCTGACCGGAGAAAAATACGTGCTGCAGGCACGAAACACATTACGAGTAGAAATACATTGCTTTTAAAATCGTGCTGTGCAACACGAAAAAAAAAGAGGAAAATCGTGTTGGTGAACACGAATCAATAGATTAAAAATCGTGTTGGTGAACACGAAATGCCATGAGACTGGGTTTTAACACTACAGCTGCTGCGCACACGAGTCATGAAGAAACATGCATTAAAAAAGACACACTCCCCAGCCAAACACTGGATCTCTCCCAAGTCCAGCT